TGCCCTCTCCAAAATCTCCCTGCCCCTTCTCCTACCCCCTGGCCCCCTTACCCTGCCGCTCAGAACATGGTGTTGGGCTCTGTGCGGAGCCGGACACGTGGCTGCGCTCCCCAGCGCAACACACAACCCGGTCCCACCCAACCCAGTGCTGCCGGAGCGGGGCGCTGGGCTGCAGGGGAGGAGGAGCTGCCGAGGCCGATGCAAACGGCCCGGCAGGCCGGCCGGCTCAGAACGCAGGGAGGGGGGGAGGAGGCGCTCTACAGCTGCTCCGGAGTCCAGCCCAGCAAGCTGCGGGGGAAGGGCTCTGGCTGCCAGAGCCCCATGCGAGTGGCTGACTTTCCTGCAGCCCTCCCAGCCGCGCCTCGCTCTGCATGGGGGGGAATCCTGGACATTTTTAGTGATTTACAAATTCCCCCCCGGACGCTATTTTTAACACAAAAAGGACATGTCCGGGTAAATCCGGATGAATGGTAACCCTACTCCAGCCTGGAGCCTAGTTTTCTACAAGGCTGGCTTAATGAAGTGACCCTATGCAAGGAAAGCCACTGGGAAAAGGGCTGGACACTTTATTTTCTAAATGGGGATGTTTCGGGTTCCAGAAAATAAAACAATAAATCTTGGCTTCTCTGATTTTTCTTTCCCACTTTCTTGTTTTACACTGCCAGTGCTGTACATACTGACAGATCAGTGATTTTCCAGCAGCATCACTCTGCGAACCACTCCCTTCCTAATCCCCCATTGGCCAGTTCTAGTTTCGTTTTTCAGCCCACAGGAACTGACTCCATGGAGACATGGCCCAGAGTGTGATGTCTTTGCATCTGTCTTTTTTTTTTTTTTAACTTTACATAAATCACCTCTTTTCTCCCTTGCCTTATGCCTCTTAATAATTTCTCCCTCTGTTGTAATTCTGTTAATTGGTCTTCCATCCTAATAATAGGTCTGTACCAAGAAAGTCACCAGGGCTGACAGAGACAGTTGCTGGGTTCAGTTAATATCTTCATTGCTGATCTTGTTCTGCTTCTTAATATGGAACAGCTGATGAAGAATCAAAAACATCAATCCACTCTCTTCAGCCTTCCTCGGTGTCCACATTTCACTGCTGTACAATAAAGTTGGTATAACCATGGTTCTATAGATCTGCAGCTTCATAGCAAGCTTGATGTCATGACATCCCCACAGAGATCACTGAAGGGCTTGAAATATGGCAGTAGCTCCGGCTATACAAGCATCCACATCTTTTGAGCATCCTTCAGCACTGTCTATGATGCTTCTTAAGTATTTAACAGTTGCCACCTGCTCAGTGTCCCATAGAGACAGGTTAATACTGAGCTGGCTATAATCTGGAATTGGAGGTTGCTTGATGGTAATTCGGTGGTGCGATAAGGTCATGAATGATAGACATAGACTGAACATCCAGCCAGACCAACTTAAGGACTGAGCTAGAGATCCATCTGAGTATCACTTGAGCTGCAAGGAGGCTACCTCTCTTTGGTTTGCCATGCTGCTGCTGCTGCTGTAATAAATTTAATTCTATTATTTAACATCTAAAGTGGTTTGAGATACAGTCTGTTTGAAGGATGCTCTATACTCTAGTTCTGTAAATAAGTCCAAACAGATGAGTTATTTCCTGAAAATACATGTTTGTAATCAGAACAAAGCCACTGTCTGATCTACAACTAGAGACTATTCATTCAAAGAAACGTGGCTGTAGGCAAAGAGTGGGGGCAGAACTACATATCCCAGCATTCCACATTATGGCACCTTGGCTGGGTGCAAAGTTCACTGTCACGTTGACAGTGGAAGGATTAAGAGCTTATGGGTGTGTGTTTTTGAGAGGATCTGTTTTCCCTCTAATATCGAAACTGAAGGGTCCTTGGGACGTTTGTGGTAGGGAGCAGTTTGGATCCGCCTGTTACAACCCCTCTGCTAAGAAATCCCCGCTAAGAGCAGCTGCTGCAATCCACACAAGTAAGTGTTCAACTCTTGGAGTTACTTTTAATTTCTCACTTCCTGCTCTTTCTAAATAACACAAAGGAGGAATCAAAAGCTGGTGGGTTGGAGTGGGGGCAGAGTGCAGAAATTCCGGGGGGGGAGGGGCGGAGGGAAGGGGGAAGCTGTAAATCTGACCACTTGCCTCCATAGGGAGCAGTTTTGTTTGTTTAACTCCAAATATGGTATTGCCTTCAGTTAGAAGGCATGACAATAGAGACGGAAGGCCATCTGGTGTGGGGAAGTATCTTATTAGACTCTGTATTAGGCACAGAAGGCACAGACTGCTGGTCCTGTGCATATAGATTCTGTACTAAGCAGAAATCTTGTATGCAAGCCGATTGCCATCAGGGAAAGTTTCTCTTTTCAATTGCCCAGTACTTACTCATTCCTCTTAGCCAAGTCTGAAGACAGGATTCATTACTCACTAGTGCGGACTATAAATGATTGGCATCACAAAATGCATCATCTTGAAACTGAAACGATAGAAAACTTTATTACATGAAGAAACTGAATCCCACATTGCTCTTCTGTGTTATTTGTGTCCTTCCCTCACTTAGGGCCTTTGTGATGTTCAAAAGCCAGGCTCACATTCTTGTGCCTTGGCCCGTTAAGAGGCATTTCTCCTCTTTCCTTTTCCTTTCAGCACCCTCCCCCCACCCCCCAGCATTTATATTCTGTGTGTGGCAGTTTGATTCAAACATATTTTAAATGAGTGGATTAAATTGCTGGTGCGACAGCCCTGGAGACTGAAGTCCTCTGACCACAGAGACAGCACTGACAGGTACAGTGCGACTTCCCAAATCACCGCTGCACCAATGGGATTCAGATATAAAGGCTTAGGCCTGGTCTACATGGGATCTGTCTACATGGGCAAAAGTGTTTTTTTTCCAGTCAAGTTATCTTAACATAATTGAAGATCACCCATATAGACCCAGTTGAACATCTTTACAGTCATATTAGCTGCTTGTTAACAGCACTAGGCCTGAAGTCTTCAGATGTCACTGATTATCTGAGGTGCATCTCGGTATATTCCATCATAAAGGTAACAGCCTCACACAGCTCCAAACAGCTTTATTAATGGCTTTGGTGGTGGTGGTGGGGAAGCTCTCAAGTTTCCCAGTATGAGTCATTGCTTTATTCTTTATATTTAGTTGGCTCAAGGGATGGTCTCCACGAGCTGGCTGAGACTAATCAAGCTACTCGGATCAGAAAGAAGATAGCAGGCGTCTGTATGATCTAATCAGGAAGTGTAACAATCTAGTCAAGAAACCAAAACACCAAACGATCAACAGAATGGCAGAAAACGGAGACCAGGATCCTCATCGGAGTAAGTTTGGCGTGAATGTGAGGCCCCTGGAATAGATGTTTTAGAAATAAGTTCATATTTAATCATAATTTTGAATATTTGTGTACTGTTGTATTTGTCATTGTTACTAGTGATATAATAAGAGAAATGGGAGCTGGCCCTTTAAGAATAGGGTGGAGGCACAGTGGGTGAACTGTTGCAGGGATGGGCTGGATTCGGGGGGGTGTGTGCTGCTGGGGCATCTGTGTTTAAACAAAATTCTCCTTGAAACGCTGAGTCTTAAGGGAGTTCCATGCATGTCTCCAGTACTATAGTCCCTAGCTACTGCATTTTCAGACACACCGGAAGAGAAAATCTCAATGAAACTAAAACCTGGAAAGGAAAAAGCCTGTTTCATTTCTGTATTTCCCGTTGAATAAAAGGAAGCCCCTGACAGTCACTACTGGTTTCTCTCATACTTAAAGCAAACTTAGTGGTTTGAATTTCAGAGTCCTGTGAGAACAAGCCATCCCTGTGTTGACAAGACCATAGATACCTATCCTATGTCCAGGGTTCTAGCCATGACAATGATCAATGCCCAGTGCTTCAGAACAAGAGAACCTTTTCCACCTTGCACCTCCAAGCACATTAACGCAGTACAGTTACCTAATTGTGCTCTGCTGTAGAGAATAGAAGGGAATTTCTTCCTGACCTCTGAAATAATCAAGCTTCAAGCACCGAAATGGAAGTCTAATCTTGGGGAGCAGAGGTGGGCAGGGGTCCCACTGGTCAATATTTGGGGCAATTAACAAAGTGACTTTTATTGCAGATAAACTAACTAATGGAAGCAGAGCTGAATTTAAAGTTCCCAGTTTCCCTAAGAACATGAATATGGTTATGTTTGAGAAGTGAGTGTGTTGTGGACTTAGGGGACCATAGGTGCTGGAAATAGGGGTGCTGGGAGTGCTGCTGCTGCACCCCCAGGCTTGAAGTGATTTTCATTATATACAGGGTTTACAGTTTGGTTCAATGTCTCTCAGTACCCCCCACTATAAAATTGTTCCAGAACCCCTGTAGGGGACATGTTTTCCATACAAAGAAGAATTGGCTCAGTTCTGAGATCCAAATTCCACAGAACCCAGAGATCAGGAAATTATAGCTGGTCATATAATATACCAACTGTTCAACACATGACCTCTAGCTTGCTGGTCCCAGATTTTGCATATGTAAACTAGAATGATCCTCACACCAATTACCTGTGCACAACTTGGGTATTCAGAAGCCTAACTGGACAATTTATTTTTGTTTCTATATATACTGCATACTTTTATTTCTAGTGCAGAGATTCTCAAATGGGGGGGGGGGATGGGGAGGGCTGAGAAGCTTTAGGAGGAAAAAACTGCACACGTTTTACCCACAGCAATGAATAACTAGCAAAGCTGATTCCTCCAAACATATCAGGTCCTCAGATGGCACTGTGCATTTTGACGATTTCTGGTAATTATGAATAGCATTATACAGAGTCGTTGTCATTTGTACATTAATCCGTTTGCTATGACACTGGGTGCATCTTTAATTGTAAGCATCAACCACAATTGCAGTGTTGCTTTTGCTCTTATTACAGTGGATCGTTGGCAAGGTTTGAATCAGTGCCTTACTGTTTTTCAAATTTAGTGAGAATTGCAAGTTGATTGTTTTTATCGGTATATGTACTGGTGTGGTGCGGGGCGTAAACTGCTACAGACACAATGAAGGGGGGCGCAATCAAGTTTGAGAACCACTGCGCTAGAGTAAAACAGATAAATGACAGTCCCTCTTGCCCCCAAAGAACTCCTGAACACATAAGATCACTTTACCCAATCCACACTGATGCTAAAAGAATTTTTGTGAGCAGGTTGTGGCAAATATTCAGTATTTGAAATCTGAACCATGTTGGGTAGTTTTGCTAGATCCTATAGCTCACTTATACCTGTTGTTTGTTCTCTGATTGGAAGTCAAAGATTCAAGTTCCTGGCACAGATACTCATATTTACGAGTTCAAAACTTCCTTTGTGCAAATATTCTCTAATATTTGCTTTAAATTTCTGTTTCTGCAAACAAACCTAAATTCTTTGGTAGAACAGCCACAGAAAGTCAATGAATAAGGATCAGAAATATAGCAGAAGCAAGTTATATTTTTTAGCTACAGTAGTTGCAAAGAAATGTTTTGAATTCACTCAGATCAATCTGCTACCATGTCAACACCACTAGTAGAAACTCCCCAAACCACAAAACATAATCTACATCCTCTTCTCCTTGACATACCAACTAGGGAAACCCCAGATACATAGTTAGGCCTTATGACATATTCTGCAATTTGATGGACTATACTTTCAGAGTCAAGGGACTTCCACCTAAGACTCTCGGTGACCATTTATATGTTCTGGCTGGTCTGTAGAGTACAGAAAGAGGGGTAAATTTCTAAAATAGCCAGGATCCAAACTTTGCAGGACCATTAGCGTGAACAAATGATTGTATTTGCAGAGTGGCAGGCACAAATTTAGAGGCCAGGTCGAGACCTCTATGAAGCTGGCCCAGTGTAGTTCATTGGTGGTGAGGGGTCATGGGAATCTCATCCCCATTCTTGTTGTGTGTCAATTTTGGAGCGTATAGGACTAGGAGTTTTGGTGGGAGTTTGTAGAAAAGTAGTGGGCAACTCAGTATTCTTGACCATTATACTAAAGAAAATAAACAGTATTTGACTTTTTGATCCCACAGCCTACCCGGCCCAAGAATTGATGAGAAGAGAGGAGGAGAGGACTCCCCAGGTCCAAGAAGGTGAAAATGTATTGAGGACCCACCAAGAAAAGATGATTGAAGATTCTGGTTCTGTCCAACTGAAAACCTCCCCAGAAATAGAAACACTAGGTCCCCAAGAGACAAACAGTGTGTCTGGAAGCCCCTCCGCAGTAAATGAAGAGGATTCCTCAGAGGGAAGGCCAGTGAGTTCTGATGGAATTTCTCTGAAAACAAACACTGAGGTGTCTCCAGGCCTTCTGAACCTTAACACAATGAGTATACCAGACTATTCCCTGGACAAAGACATGGTATTTTCCTTAGGTAAAAGAAAAACATATTCAGTGCCAGTTGCTCTGGAGGAGAAAATCATAGGGGAACCCCCAACCGAAGAGGAGAACAGCGTACCCACCCCCAGAGGAGAGCCACAAGATCCCATAATCCAAGAAACCACAATTCCATCTGCAGACTTCCTGGAACCAACGAAAGAGAGTATCTCAAACAAGGAAGGAGAGAGACCCCAAGACACAGCAAGGAAGAGACACTCAACTGAAGGTGAGTCAACAGTAGTTTGCACGACAAAGTGCTGCCATGTTTAAGGTCTCTGCAGATCCCTTGCCTTCAACTTAATGTGTGGTTAATCTCTGAAAAGGGGCTTTGTAAGAATGGCATTGCGGGGTTTGTCTCTCAGTCAAGGATTGCAGATCACCTGTGCTGGGTTTATAAGTAGGAAGATGTTTTCCCAGATTACCAGCCCTGCAAACTCATTCTGGCCTCAGAGTCAACACGGTTGCTTCTACAGCTGGTCAGCAAATGAGGTTCTGTTCTGTGGAAAATTTAGACTTTTAATTGTAAAACGAAAGCTCTTTTTTAGTTTTTGCAGGTTTCTTTTTTCCAACAAAAAGTTGAAAGTCTTCACAGCAACCAGGGGCTTTGTTCATGAATAGTTTTGTTTCATTGAAACCCCAATTTTCCATTGGAAAATACAGTTCTCAATGGAAAATGTTCAACTGGCCCTAGTTATTTCCTTCTTGTGTATCATTACCCCAACCAGCAGCAGAAGAGGTTCTGCAGGCCAAAGTGTGACCTCAGTGACACCCGTACAACCGGATTACCTTCAATAAATTGACACACACACAAATGAGACTGATTGAAAGTTAGTGAAATCCTGTTGATGATGCATAAGGCAGAACAGACTCTAACTCAGCGGTTCTCAACCTATTTCTTTCTGAGGCCCAGCTGTGCAACAACAACTGTTTTTCTTCATATAAAAGCACAGGTGCTGGAACTAGGGAAGCTGTGGTGCAGCTGCATCCCCGGGCTTGAAGTGGTTTCCATCATATACAGGGTTTACAGTTTGGTTCAATGGCTCTCAGCACCCCCACTGTACAAATTGTTCCAGCACCCCTATAAAAAAGCCAGGGCCGGCATTGGGGGTAGCAAGCAAGGCAATTGCCTGGGGTCCCACGCCACAGGGAACTAAGTTGCTCATGCTTCGGCTTCAGGCCCAGGTGGCAGGCTCGGGGCGGTGGGGCTTCGGCTTTCTGACCTGGGCTTTAGTGAGTCTAATGCCGGCCCTGCTCAGTGGACCGCCTGAGACCTGCTCAGGGCCATCCAGGAGGCCTCAGACCCCTGGCTGAGAACTGCTGCTCTAGCTCACTCTCTCTGGGCTGTGCTGGTTCAGAAGTAATGAGCAGCAAGAATATACTTTTGTCACTAAACTCAGCAGGTCTGACTGAGTACACACCGAGAGCAGAGCTATTCTGAGAAGATTCAGTTCGTACACAGACACTTCTCAGAGCAGAACCGCACTTTAAGCATTTAATCACAATCGAGGACAGCTTCTGTTTGTAGGACATTTCACCCAGCTTTGCAGCTATTGCAGAGACCTTAGCTGCGTAAGCAACCACTCTCATCAGCTCTCTGCCCCATCCCCACTGATGCTTGCTGGTGGAGCATGTTATGAAGATCCTTGCCCTACCCAAGATTTGGAGGCTGAGCTGACCCAGGGGCAAGCTGCAATTTCTAAAGAGCTGAGTGGGGATGAAGCTATCTCCAGCTCAGCACAGATCCCAGCTGGCTCATTCTCACTGAGTGGGACTCTCTCCTGCTCGGGAAGAATGGAAATTGTGAGGGGCTTTAAAGAGCTGCATGTTCCTTTCCATTCTTTGTAGGGTGATGACAGCCTCCCAAAGCAGAGGCGTCTGCAGCTGAAGCAGTATCACAGATTTGTCTTATATTCTATGGATGCAGACTTTATTTTTAGTAGTGTGATTAGACAAATGTTTGCCTTTACTAGTGAGTGGCAAACTTCATCTCCCTTTTTTTAAATATTTGACCCACAGCGGTGAAGTCAGAGGCTGAAGCCCATCCACAAGAGACAGAGACCAGGCAGGAAGCAACGCCAGAGAAGGAGAAGTCCTTTTTAGGCAATGGTGAGAATGGGAAGATTTCCTTGTGCGTTTCATTGTTCACAGTTCCGGTGGAAACAGTCAGCAACCAGGATCAGATAACAAAACACATTCAGACCTTTCACTCAGGCCTCTCAGGCCAGGTCTGTACTACAAACTTACATCGGTATAGCTGTGTCACTCAGTGGTGTGAAAAATCCACACCCCTGACTGATGTGGTTATACCAACCTAACCCCCTGTGTTGACAGGAGGCTTTTGCCTGGGATTTGCGAAAACTGCTGCAAATTTAGTTTATTGGGGATTTTAGAGAAGTGGGTTTGAAATGGAAAGCAACTCTAATCCATAACGAAGGTGCGTCTGGCTCAGTCCCATAATACATGGGATTTCCCTAAAGTTCCCAGGGCATGGAAAGGTATGCAGGGACACGCCCGCTCACTGTGCAGGAAGGGGGGCTTCCTTCCCCATAACCCAATCCCACAGCACCATGCCTTGGCACCAATGACAAGGCCCTCCAAGTAACTTGTCCCCTCCTCCCTGGAGGGACATCGTGAGGTGGCCACTGTCTCTTTAAAATAAATACCAACAAGGTACTTGTACTCGGCAATACTGGCAAAGATTTTAAGAAAAGTTGACTAAAGTTAAGCTGCTAAATCTTTATTTAAGATTTGAGCTAAAAGGCTGAGGCCGGTCCAGTGGCTAGGTGGCTAGCCTGGGACTTGGGAGACCGGGATTCAATCCTCTGTTTGGCATGTGTGGGATCTTGGGCAATTCTCTAAGGCCCAGATTTTTAAAGGTCTTTAGGTGTTGCTGTGCTCAGCTTTGTGCCACCTAACTGAGTGAGGAGCCTAAATCTCGTTTGCAAAAGGGATTTAGGCACTTAGGGGGGCCAAAATCCCATTGAAAGCCAATGGCTTTTAGGATTCTAAATACCTCAATCCCTTTTGAAAATGAGATTTAGACTTCCAAGTCAGTTAGGCAATTGCAATGCTGAGCACAGCAATGTCTAAATAAATACAGTTAACAATCTGGCCCTTAGCCCCAGATCTGGTAAGATATTTAGGCACCTCACTCCCATTTAAATCAATGAGAGTGAGGGGCCTAAACACCCATACGGATCTGGGCCTTGCTATCTCCGTGCCTTAGTTTCCCATCCATAAAACAGGAGTAATACATGCCCACCTCCCAGGGCTGTTGAGGATAAGTCCACTGAAGATGGTGAGGCACTCATACAGCACAGGGACCATATAAGTACCTTGGATAGATAAGCTATTTCGGCACCAATAAGCAGACTGGATTTTGGAAGGCTGAGCATCCAGCAGCTCCACCATGCCCCTGAGTGCCCTAAACTGATGGCCTACAAAACTGCATTAGAAAACAGCTGTGAAAAAGTGATGTTGGACTGGGATTTGGTGCATTCAGTTCTAGGGGGAAAAGGCAATAAATCACATAAAGGACTGAAGTTTCCCAAGGGAATGTGTAGGATCTCACGCCATGGTTCCAAAGCTGCGGGACATAGCTCAGTCTGTGGGTTTGTAGGGCCCTCTGCTCAGTGGCAGAGCGAGTCCCTCAGGGAAGAGGGTTCTTTTTCAGTGCTACATTAAACATTTTCAGGGCCATCATTAGGCTGATGTGGTGAGCCTATCATTTCCATTAGAAAGCAGATGTTTGGGTCTAGGAGATGGATGAAGACAAAGGCATATCTCTGTGCTAGCCTCCAGCATGCCACTGTACTCATGTCAGACTCTTTCACTCTCTCTCTCTCTCTTGTCCCTTCCCCTCAACCTTCTCTAACAGGTCTTGCCTCTCCTGCAGCTTCACTGGGAGTCCTGGTAGTTGTGGTTTGTTTCAGCATATATTGCAATGGCTACTATACTTCCCAGCCCCACCATGTGCCAGAAAATCCAGCCTTGGAGGCCTTCTTGTCTGGGTTTAACCAGCTGAAGGACAGCTTTCCGGGCCAGAGCTCTTACCTGTGGGTTAGAGGGCGAAAATTATTGCAGAGGCATCTCAACACTTCCAGTCACAGCGAGCCAGCTATTTTAATCTTTACTGCTGCCCGTGAAGGTGAAGAAACCTTAAAGTGCCTGAGCAACCGTATTGCAGATGCCTACTCCACCTCACTCCGTGCCAGTACGATCCAGATTGACGGAGCTGGTAAAGCCACGCTCAGCAGCGACAAAGCTAAACTGGAGGTAGATCATGAGCTGAGCACCGGCTTTGAGGAGGGCAAGAGGGCTGCAGTGGTGCACCGGTTCGAGTCGCTACCGGCTGGCTCCACCTTGATCTTTTACAAGTACTGCGACCATGAGAGCGCGGCCTTCAAAGACGTGGCGCTGCTCTTAACGGTCCTGCTGGAGGAAGAGAAGCTGGAGGCTAATATAGACCTACAGCAGGTCGAGGAGAGAGTCCGTGATTTCCTCTGGGCCAAATTCACCAATGCCAACACTCCCCGCTCCTACAACCACATGGACACCGACAAGCTGAGTGGGTTGTGGAGCCGCATCTCCCACCTGGTCCTGCCCATCCATCCAGTAAAAGCCATAGAAAACAATGGCTGTTCTTTCCAAACCAAACCATAGCGGTGAATGAAATCAGCTTCCAGGACAGCTAAAGCTTTTGTGTAGAGGAGGCAAGTTATTACTAAGCCAGGGATCTGGAGCCATTAATGAACAATGAGCTCACTTTATAATAGCATGACACTGTCACATCTATTTTTACCTCTTGGAAAGATTTTATAATTTTCAAAGTGAGACCCAATAGAGCAGGCGTTGACTGGCTAAGCCGTCTCAGCCAATCATGTTGGATATACACTAGAATGATGCTTCCCATTTGTGGATTGATAGATGGGAAGAGCTAGTACTTTAAACTGCTAACTGCACAGCTAGAAGATTATGGCCAATGGAGAGAATAGACAGGGAGAGGAGTGGTTACTGAAGGGACAATATCACCTTGAAAAGCAGATTTATCCTGGAAAAGCTTGGACCTATTATAGATACATGTAACACAGGAGGTTACTATAACTGACAGAAGCAACTGGGTTGAAATATTTATCTTCTCCCCCTCCCCCCGCCCCATTTGTTTACATTTGACAGCACTTTGCAAAAGGCGATTTCATTGTTTCCTTTGCAGTGTCAGTTTCTTTCTCCCTGACTGAAAGAAACGGGGGAGCCGAACACCCCAGTTAAAAATACTTAAGGGATATTTTAAAAAGAAAATTAGGATATACTGGCCAGAGCCTCAGCTGTTGTAAATCAGCGCAGCTCCCTTGATACTGATTTATACCAGCTGAGGCGCTGGTTCACTGTATATAGGGATTTCAACCAGAAATGGCAATTTTAAAAGTAGTAGTCAATTAAAAAAAAAATCAGGTTGACAATAGTTCTAAGGACTCCTCCTGGGGGGGGAGGGGCTAACCTGAGAAACTCCGCAGGGAGACTTTGAAATCTGAAGTTGTTATTATTGAAGTAACTACTTCATAGCTACTTCAATCTAATATGAAACCCTTGTATATGGAAAGGTGCCACATCTCCCAGCTGCTGTGCATCTCAAGATTCTTAGATTTGTGTGACAATGCTGCCTTTCAAGTGACACTATTTGGTAATGGTTAAAGGAGAGGCCACTCTGAAAATGGGAAAAGGAGAAGAAGGAAAAGTAGCAGGTAGGGAACATGGGTAGAGAAGGGAGCAGGGGAGTAGTAATGGGAGGGAAAATATTGATCCATATTATCCAAGAAGGGAACCTGTCAGATCAAATCTGCCCCCAAACTGTATCAGACAAAACCTAAAACCAAACTAGATTTTGTCCAGGATTTTTAAAAAATTCCAGTGGATGGCCTTTCTGAACCACACATAACCCTCTGCAGTATTTGCAAACCACGGGCCAGATCCGGATCCTCTTGCTCATTTTAAATAGAACGAGATGTCCCATTGGTGCAGTTTGGCGATGGAGATGACTTTGCCAGCTTTCCACAAGCAGAGAGTTCCACAGGCCATCTCCATCCTCTTAGTCCACTTTGCACTGGTTACATGGTGCACAGTGGACGTATCACACTGGAACATCTGGCCCATTGACTTCAAAGGGACTATTTGATGGAGCAAGGAAATATTCAAGGTGAGTCAGAGCATCCGAACCCGGGCCACATCATTGTGTTAGTGCAAGAGAACCTGAAAACGAAACTAACTGGAAGGTGATTTCATTGTCCAAACTGAGAGAAATGCAAGAAGGTAATTAACTTGATGGTATTAAAACCAGATTAGATTTTTAAAATTCAGTTAGATTATTTAAACTAGGATGATACTAAAAACATAGGTGAAGGAAGGTTGTTGGCTTTGTTTTTGTTTTTTTTAATATTTAACTTGACATAGCCCCTGTCAAGGCTGAATCCCCACTCTGTCACTCTGAGTGCAGAAAGTTGGGGCCCGCAAGGATTCTAAAAATTAATACTTGCCACTCCAGGCTTGTATTAAACTCCCAAGATTACAGCTTTTCTCTGACCTTGGCTTGGTAAAGGCTGCCACCACCCAAATGCAAAAAAACTCCCTTGGATCCAGGAAGGCACACTTGGGAATTCCTCCCTGTGGGGTACCCTCAAGCCCTTTCACACACCCCTCTCTGGGGAAGAGCTGAGAAAGAAAACAAAGGAAATTAGCTGTTGCCACCAGCTAATCAAATAGCATATGCACAAACCTCTTAGGACACCAAAAATCCAATCCTGTTCTTAAAAAGGTAAATTTTATTAAAAACAAAAAGAAAGAAAATACATCTGGAACTTAGGCTTTTTCTAGATTTTAAAAGAGCAGTTCCAAAAATCAAGCACCCAAAATAGCTTTCTTGTGGTTCAGCTTAAAGGTTACAAGCAAACAAAAGCATCTGGGGTTAGCACAGAGGAGTCCATAAGCCAATAAGAAATAACCCTAATCACAGTTTTTTAGACATTCCCTAATTTTACTTACATATCTGAGGCTTCGGATAAGTAGGTTCGAGGTATGAATTGATAATCTATAATCATACCTGCTTAAAGCTGCTTACAGCATTGCTGCTCCGTGTCCCTGCAGCCCAGAGAACAACTGACAAAGGGAAAGTTTCTTTCCCAATTTTAAAAAGTTCTACTTTCCCATTGGCTCTTTTGGTCAGGTGCCCATTCCTTTCCTTTTACCTGTGGGCTTGTTAACCCTTTACAGGTAAAGCAAGCAGAGAACAGACACCAAGAGGGATTTTACAGCTAACTGGCTGGCTGGGTGTCTATAAGGGAGCTACCCCCTTCTCCCCTCTTCAGTTATCACACCTTATGGACAGCCAGCCAGCCAGCCAATTATCACAGCCCCTTTAAAAGAAATTAGCTTTCAGCAGCAAGGCTGTAATGGCCTCTTTGGGTCGCTGGTGATGTCCCAGGCCACTCACACTCTGCTCCTTGGCAAAATAATTTCCCTCATCCTTTATCTGTACAGAGGGGACCTTCCACCTGCACACCTGCTCCCTTCCATACAGAAAGGGCAGTCACAGCCACCGCTGTAGCAGTGTATCCCCAGATCCTGTGGAGGTTTCGTCTGGAGAACAAGGTGGAAGCTGGATGGGGACAGGAGGAATCTCCCTTTTCTCAGGGAGATTTCCTCTCCCACCAGAGCCCTGGGAAGGGTGATTGGCCCATGTTTTGTAATGTTACTGGTAACAGCAAAGGGACATAATAATCTTGTAATTCACAGTTGCCTCCAGGTCTCTCTATAAATAGCTCTTATGATTAACTTTTAGTTCCCTAGACATTTGTTAATAGAGGTATTTATTTCAGCCCCTGTAGGACATGTCACAATGGGATCTCTGCACAGGGAGAGCTCACCTTCTCACCAGCCCGTGGGAGCAGCCACTCAGAGTAATAGGAGTGCTTCATATAGCTGGGGAACTGAGTGCATTGTTGGCTGGTAACGAGCTAATACTTTATGCACTCTTTGAAAGCTTATGAATCCCCAGCTTGGTGCACACCAATGCATTATTGCATATCATCTTCTGTACATAACATAGGGAGAGCTTGAGCCACTTGGGGGCATGTTACTTCCATAGGTACTGATGCATTCTGGAAAGTGTCTAGAGAAGAGCTACTAAAGTCATGCTGGAGGGGACTCAGGGTACTAGGCTAAAGCTCTTAAAGCCCCAATCCTGCAATGAGTTCTCTGCAGACAGACTCCCTGCACCTGTGTGGGTGCAGAGAGTCTGAATGCACAGATCACATTGCAAGATAAGGGCCCAAGTCTCTTCTGGTTGGAGAAGAAGAGGCTGTGGCAAGGAGTGGAGCTTACTTCCAAGTATAACTGCCCAAATGGAAGACATGTTGTGATCGGCGCAATCTATATGAGGGCCGAAGAACCAAGCAATCAAGGTGAACTGCCCAAAACAGGCCTTACAAAGACATAGGCTTTAATTAAGCAACAACAGGAAAATGCTTGGACGCTCTGAGATAGGTAACTTTGTAAAATACCCTTTAATACACCAATGCTGCCTATGCCACACACCAGTGGTGCCTTGCTGAACCATTTCAAAGGAAGGCTAAGCTGACTCACAGCACAGCTCACAGTATTCACTCATTTCACTACAGCCCCAGGGGTGCAGCCCATCTGCATTTCCAAATCTCAGGATTGAGACAGTGAATTTTTTTTTTGGCGGGGG